AAAAACAAAAAAATAGTTAGAATTTCTTTTTGAATGATAACATATCAAAATGAAAAATTCCAAATTCATGAAAGCAAAGTGAAATTATCAAGCAGAAGGGACATTCATGCATTCATGTGATGTTTAATTGTCAAAACTGTACTAAAATTTCATTTTGTCCGGTAGTCATACTATTGAAAAGTGTCTCAATCTTTTTCATCTTAAAAATTGCCTTCTGTGGGTAGTACCCATGTAAAAAAAAAAGGAAGCAGTTGAAGGAGAAGAAGGAAAGAAAAGCCTACGCTGCTCAGACATCTTTCTACTACACAAATAGAGTACTTAGCCTATATTCGCAGCTTTAATTGCTTTCGAGTATGAATTATTAATTGTGTCAATATCGGACAAAAGCCATTGAGGGAACTGGCAATAATGTGACGTCATACATTCCGAGTCTCTACTGCATTACACGGTAGGTTATCGGGCTGTTAAAGATAATTTACCCGGTTCAAAGTTCTTTATCGTCTTGTAAACGATTCGGGAGATATTGTAAAGAATCTCAGTCACTCGAGGAACTTGTGAGGTATTGTTAAGTGCCATTTTGTGGTGAAACTTTTTTATATTTTCAACGAAAATATGTACAAGAACTACGGACACTACGTGTTGGCCATTTCAGCGGCAGTTACAGTTCTGATTTCTCTGTGGACTTCGCACACGAACGCTGTTCCTTTGAATGGAACCAATAATACAGGGAATTTTTCATCTGTTAACACCACATCTAGAAATAATAATTCTTCGCTGCAGAATTCAACAGCTGCTAACTCGACGACTACGTGTAATGCCACAATTTCCAACTGCACGACGCAGAATTCTACTTTGCAGGGCAACGGAACTGTGGTCTATGTCCAAGTTAATTTGACAAATGTATGCGGGTCAAATAGAACTCAGCGTCTCTTACCATGCAACGGGACAGCGTTAAATCTCACAAAACACTGTGAGATTGCTAAAACTGGTAATTTATCGCTTGTTTGCAGAAATGGAAGTGTCATAAATAGTTCCTTTATCGATGATCTGGTTTCTAATGCAACAAAATCTTCCATCACATCAAACAACACAATTAATTCTGGAAATCGCACTATCGAAAATATAACATCCTCGATTAACGCCACTACAGCGACGCCATCGATTCAAACTCCAAATGGGACTTTAACAAATGGATCGCTAGTTAATGGCACCTCTTCGCAAAACGCCACAGAAGGGAATGTCACCACAACTTCAAGCTCGATCTCTGTTAACGCTTCCGCTAATGCTACCGTTGCTGCACCAACTACAACAAATTTGGAGGGTGCAATCTCAAACGCAACGGAATCTCCGACAACTAAGGCACAAGAAGGCAACGAAATGTCGAGTACAGCAACTCAGCAATCGACAACTACGGTAACTAAAGCGGAAGAGACAACTACCGAAAAATCAACTACTCCAAGTACCACAGCGAAGGAGACAACTACCGAAAAATCAACTACTCCAAGCACTACAGCGAAAGAGACAACTACCGAAAAATCGACTACTCCAAGTACTACAGCCGAGGAGACAACGACCGAGAGATCGACAGCTTCTATCACCACTCAGGAAGCCTCGTCTCCTCCAAGCGCTAAGGAAACTACCACAAAAGAAAGCACAACTCAGACCACCACAACCAAGGAAACAGTGAAAACAGTCCAGACTACTACGACAACACAAGAATCCTTGCAAAGAACAACTTCTTCGAAAGATGATCAACAGCATTCGTGTAAGTTTTTAATTTCCTTTTTTTAATTCAGAGGTTGTTAAATGAGAAAACGTTTCAGGAACACCAGATCTTTCAAAATTGACGACAACAGGAGAATTACCTAAAATAACGACTGTCAAATATGATGGTTAAAAGTTATGTTAATTTGTATGACAGCTTTGCAGACACCTGCAACTCATTTTACATTAAGTCCGGGTTTATGCAGTACATTTACAATGGAAATCTACAGTAGAAGCAAACAATTTTCGTTGTGATATTGAGTTGCACTGCATTTTCTACAGAATGCAGATATCAATGATATTAGTGTCAATATCAGTAAAAAATAGTCAAGTGGAGGAGTAGGAAGATAGCAAGATGTGGTTTTGGAGACGTTTTTAGCCTTTGGTCTCTCGGAGGTTTACTTAAGTTGTGATAACCACACAAACACTAACAAGGTATAAAAGTTGAATTCATTGCAAACAAGCACTGCATGCAGGAATATATATGTTACATTTCCACCCTTGAGTGAAAAACTGTGCATATTGCTACTGAAATGTTAGCCCTAACAGAAGGGTTGTAGCAATTCACAAGAAGTCTGATTCACTAAATATGTGGCCAAAGTTTTTTGGTTGCTACCACAACAGCATGTCCATGTAATTGGTATGAATGAATTTTTAAGCAATGTTAGCTGTCCAAATACATTTAAACTAAACCATTTAAAAGGGAAGAAATTCAAACAGATATAACTTGTAAGAATGATTGAAATGGTGGAGATGATAATAAATAATAGAAATGACAACAATAACAATAGTATTTATAATATTTGTAATGGTAATATTCACAGTAACAAGAGCAGTTGAAATAATGAACTTAGTTGTTTTGTAAATCAATGTACAGTAATAGCAGGTAATTTCAACTGAGTTGAAAACATAAATGAAACCATAAAGGGTAAAAAAAGCTGAAGTTTCAACATTTCAAGATGAAGGGCTAACACTTGAAACGTCAGCTATATAACACTAAATTACCTGCTATACTCTCCCATTGATGCAGCACCACAGTTTCTTTAGAAACTTACCCCCTTTATTTAATGTACAGTAATGTCAATTGTGGTAATAAAATGTTGATAGTTTGTTCAGTATTTTAGTCAGTCCTTTATAGAACTAATTTGATCACTTTTATACTTTAACATGAGTCAGTTGCATTAACGAGAGTGCATGTACTATGTTTCTGCAATTATATTTTGGCACAGACTCAGTGGTGACGTTTCAATACAGTTGTCATCTGCCTTTTTTAATGTTGCTTATTACTTTATTCCCTCTAATTTGTTTTTTTCTTAATCATCGATAAAATGTTTATGTTATTTTCTCTTTCAGTGCCATCTCCTTTGGATGATGAAAAGGTATTACCAGTGATAATTTCTATTTAATATTCAGTATTTATGGTAATTGAATAATTAATTACCTTAGCCAATATTAATAGTTAATAATTAATTTCTTTTTCCTCTTAAGCTAGCTTGATATAATTTCTTAAGTAGCTTCTTAAATTCACTAATCATTTTCAATAATTTCTTTACAGAGTGTGCAATTTTTCTATGTTAATGTGCTCACCCCAATTGGTGCAGGAGCCTGTGCAGCACTGCTCATTGCATTCCTGGTTGTGCTGTGCAGATGTTGCCGTCGACGAAAGCTAAAGAAAGTGCGCTACTTTGGAAAGGTAATTCATTTCCAAACTTAAGTTTTTAATAGGTTTCAAAATGTTAAATGGCTATGTCCATAGCTCCACCTAGAGCAAAGACCATCAATGATCTCTCTTCTCCACCCTGTCCTGTCCTGGGCTAGCCTTTCAAAGTTGGTTGAGGTGTGGCCATAATGTTTCATCTTAGCCTGAACATTTTTCTGCAAGGTGTCTTTAGAGCATTTCAACACGGAATCCTTCATTCCTTGTCACTTGCGTGGTGTTTTCACAAGAAGCTGTTTTAAATTAGTGCTGTCTTGAATCAATGATTGGTTGAGAGGTGCCTGTAACCTGTGATTGACTATCCTCTGATTCAGAGAAGGGAAGAAGCTGTGAAATATTTTTCAAAGCATTTTGAGCTCACTTTGAAAGTTAGAGTATTGGCACAGCATTAGTGTCTTAAAATAGAGTTGGCTGAATGTGGAATCCCAGAGTTTGTCTGTGAGGTTAGAGGAACTTTCCTCCTAGAGAGTGTCTGTAATAGGTAAAGAAAACATAACCAGTTATGGCTGTTTTGTGGGACTTTAAATAGAAGAAAACACTTACACCTGAATTATTTCGGAGTGTTTATGGTATAAATGATTTATTATTGTGGAGATTAAGCATGCAAGCTGTTACCATCTCAAATTAATCTGTCTCTTTGGGTATGGTTTAGTTTATCATTTCCAGAAAGGAGAATCAAGAATCTGTGTAAGGTGAAACATTTGTGTAAATGTACCTTAAGTGTCTTTTTCATTATATGTCTTTGCAGGCTCCAGGACATGTTAACATGGATGAGTTGAATTTGCTTTCACATTCCAGTGATGAAGAGTGATTAAGTTCCTCTTGGGTCCTTCTCCATAATTTACCTATTTTCAGAAAATCCACCTTCACTAAAATCTAGAGCAGATCAAAGTCCAGCTTGACTGTACAATTTTATAATGGCTACACTGGATGTAAATTTTTTTCCACTACAATTCTTTTGGAAAGAAGTTTTAGTGATGCAGAGTTTTTGACAAACTGGAAGCTTTCTCAGTCCATCAAAGTTTACCCAGGGTTGTCAAGGTTATGCATTAAATTATATGCATGGAAATCTCAGGAGGTTAATAAAGTGGAAGTCAGTGATTCTTGCCAGCCTTTATCAACAGGAACAGTTTGGTTAAGACTAAAGAATCTTTTAAGCTAACCTATTGCTTGTTAGCAGAAGCACAATAGCACATACCAAGAATTCTGGCTAATATTCCATGATGTGTTAGGTACAAGAGAACACTTGTTATTGAGCTAGTACGTTTTTATACTGCAGTGAGTGAACAATAATTGTCAATCAACCACCACCTATGAAAATAGATTTTGTGAGTAAAATGGCTTTGAAATAATTAAACCGTTTAAGCTCTCTTTTGCAACATTTATTTGATTTAACAGCAATTTAAATCAAAATGATGATGATGAGGAAGGTTTTGATGCAGTGTTCCAGTTTTCACAATATGATTCATCAGTATTTATACATGTATAACAATTTTATTCTTGTTGATTGAACCATATTTAACTGTAAAATAAACATATTTGAAATAATTAAATTACAATGGAGTAATCTTGATTAAAGTGTTGATCAACCTGCAAATTCTTAAAGGGGATAAGTTTCTAAAGAAACTGTAGTGCTGTGTCTGTAGGAGAGTATAGCAGGTAATTTAGTGTTAACGACTGAGTTGAAAACGTAAATTGGCCACCGTAAAGGGGAAGCGTCAGCCCTTCGTTAGAGCACGAGTCATGCTTAGCTAGTTCCAGGCCTTCAGTCAGTAAAAATTATGTTTATGAAGAGTTAAGGGTTGAAGCTGTTCCTCAAGTTAGTCCCGGAATAAAGGTTTCAGTTTTACGTTTTAATTCTGTATCAGCCCAACAAATGTTTTGTGTTGAACCAAGACACAATGGCGACATAGCGAGATCTGACATCTTGTTGACTTTATGTGTAAAGCTTTAATTTATACGAGATAATTTGGTTTTGTTTACTGAGTTGATAATGTTCGAGCGTAGCCCTTGATCAGAGCTTTCGCTCTGACAAAGGGCTAACGATCAAAATATCAGCTATGGATGGTCTTTACAATTACAAATTTAGATTATCAACTCAGTTGAATGAACCAACACCCCACCGACGCAAAACCCTAGTATCCCCGGAAACCTACCCACTTTATGTCTTTATACGACTCCGTTGAACTGGTAATATCTCGCTTTATTAATTGGCCGTGAAAATGCGAAACTAGTGGATGTAACGTTCCGGTTGCCAAAATCACTGCTCTCGATAAGCCCATCGCCGTCTTCACCGCTTTACTCGTTTATATCAAAATATATGGACCAAAGACAAAACAATCAGGGTCTTAGTTGAATATGTGGGCATGCATGCATGCAAAAATAGTTCGAAAATATAAACATAAAAGTGATTTGAATTTATTAAATCGCAGTATCACTGCTCACAAGTCGGCCGTCCAACTATTTTTCATCAGAATGACAGCTATATTGTGAGCAGATCTTCAAAGTCCATGATGATTTCTTCACAAGACACTGCGCAGTGAATAAAATTAAAAATAATCTTAAACTTGGAACTTGTCTATTGGATGTCGCTCAGTGCGAGCAAGAAAATACGAGTTGTGTTTGACGATGATAACTTACAATAACGTGGCAAAATCATCATAATCGGTAATTCAGAGGCTGAGCAACACAGAAAATATTTTCCAAAGTCAATTTATTCTTAAGATGCGCTTGCTGTTTGCAGTTTATTTCATCGCAAGTGTCCTTGCGCCGTTCGCTGTTTTAAGCGACGCCAGGCAACAGTCATGTACCGCTAATCACTGCGGTGAGATCACCAAAGCCATTAGGACGCTTGGAACAAAAGTGAACAATCTTATTGCAATGGTAAAGGACGCTTTGCCTTCGAAGCCTACAGGTACTTTTCCGATGATATTTTGGGATACGGCGTTTAATGTTTTCATGATTTCTCAACACGCTCAGATCTTAAAATGGCGATCTTATTTCTCTCACAGCCGGTCCCTTCTCCTCTTGCAAGGAACAGTACCACATAGGAAGGTAAGTACAAAGCAATCTGTTATAATTGCAAGATTCCAAATCACTTGCTTGATGCGTATACACATTCCATTGCGGTAGATATGAGGACTCTGCGTTTGCGTACAAGCTGACTAAATTTTTTTACTTCCTCTTTTTACATAAGATCGAGACGAAGCCAAGTATACCCGCTGATGTTTGGTTCACAAAAGATCCCTGTTTACTGTCACATGGGAAACTTTGGATGTGGGCATGGAGGATGGACACTAGCCATGAAGATCAATGGCGCGAAGGTTAACTCCCTCCCTCCTTTAAGAACCTCTCGTTATTACTGAAATTCACAAGGGCAAATCAAAAATGTAATTCTTTTTTTTTAGAGAACCTTCCATTACGATTCCAATTTCTGGAGGAACAGAAATGCCTATAACTTTTTTGGAGGCAGGACTGGCTTTGACTCACAAGAGACCAAGTTACCAACCTACTGGAGCACATCCTTCTCCAAGATCTGCCTCGGTATGAAGATTGGTCATCAGCTCAGGTTCATTGTCATCAACAGGCACGCCAACTCACTGTACTCACTGATCGCTGATGGGAAATATCGCGCCACCTCACTGGGTCGTAACAAGTGGAAGACATTGATTGGTTCGCAGGCCTCATTGCAGACCCGCTGCAATAAGGAAGGATTCAATGCAGTGGGAGGCGACCCTCGTCATTCCAAAGCAAGAATCGGCATCATTGCTAACCAGGAGAATAACTGTGATTCCTGTGACTCCCGAATTGGTTTTGGCACAGGGGGTAATCATGATGACTCAAACACATGTGGAAATCAGGCAACATACTCCCCTGATAATGGACACAAGCACATCAAAGCCATGGGGTACATCCTAGTACAGTAATAGGGGACACAGTTTAACCTCCCAAATTTTAAGCCGAGAAGCCATCATGAAGAAGAAAATGTCGTGTCCTAAAACCTGAAAGGCTAATAAAGCAATGAGTTTAACCTTATATTCTTCTCTGGTTAGCTTGTCTCTAGTATAATTTTTTTCAATGAAATTCAGAGGAATTCATTTTAGCAAAGCCAATTCAGGAATTGTTTACGAAGTAAATATTGGCAAAGACGCCATATTCGATGTTATGATACGTCCACGTCGTTGAGTGTGAGCGAATCAAGGAAGTGTAACAGAAAAGAAGAAGCTCGGAAAATGTGACTTCCTTCATGTTTTTTTTTTCTTTCGCGCGTTACTCCTTACGCTCACCTCACGCATCTTTCTGCTCGAGTGAAAAACTTAAAAAATGACGCCAGTTCTACAAAGTCACCAGCAGCCCACGGGCGTTAACGATTTTTATAGAAAATAATAAGCTCAGATATGAGAACTAACAGAATGCAAAAGCAATACCCTCCCAAAGTATTTCTTATCTTTCTCGCTTTCACCAGAATGACCAAATTTTTGTGTACCATTTGAGAGGTCAGTCTGTAAGTTAAATATGAATGTACATATTAATAAGATGATTATTAGCTCACCATTCGAACAGATTTCTTTCCGGATTATTTCCCGAGGTCATGACTTCCCTCACCAAAATGTCAGATATCCTACGTTAAATTCGAAATATTGACTTAAAAAGATCAGTAGTATCTCATCTTGTGATGTCATTGGCTTTTCTACTTGAGCCGCGTAAATTGGTTCTGATTGGTTTAAAATTCAGATAGGAAGAGATAAAATCAGGAAGTAACGGACATTTTAAAAAGACGATGAAGAAGAGTGCCACACAAAACTACCTTTTTCTGTCTTTAATTACACGTTTAGCTCGCGATTTTTGGATTTTATGATTCTAGGGAAACAAAAGTTACACCAACACCACTATTAAGCCAAACTGTTCATGAGATGGTGTCAGTTGTCTCTTTTCGCAGACGCACACGTGTACTGAAAAAAAAGGAAACGAAAATCCAAAATTGCACTATTTCGTCATAGAACTAGCATGATGAGAGTTAGCCATTGGTATCCTTATCTTCGGCAGGCCACCAAATTTGGCAATTTCGTGATGTTGTTTCAAAAGGATGGTAATTTTATCTATCACAACCTATTAGATCCCGTACAACCATTTTTTGCCTTTCTTCAGTCTTTTGGGAACTGTAGCAATTAAATGAACAAACTCATCTGGAAAATTTTCAATTCATCAATCGATATATCATGAAAGGATGATTGAAAACTATTACTCTTTCTTTTCTTTCCTTTCTGGGGTAAACTTCAATGGCAGTTCTCAGGCCCTTCCTAACAGTCTCCCGGTTACGACTCCGACAATTCGATAGGATTTCACTGGAACCTAGGTGACGGAGTTGTGAGAGATAACGATAGTTTTCTTCCATTTCTTTGTTTTGATTTTCACTTGATCTTATCGATCTGCTCTTTTGATCACGACTGCAATCGAATGTATAATAAAACCTCTGAAAGTGTTGGCTTGATGCAGCCTTTGGATCACAGAGGGTTTAATAAACGCGGGGTGCTGACCACAAAATAAATTTTGTAAGTAAAATGGCTTTGAAATGATTGAACCGTTTAAGCTCTCTTTTGCAACATTTATTTAATTTAACAGCGATTAAAACCGAAATGATAATGATGATGATGCGGAAAGTTTTCATGCAGTGTTCCAGTTTTCACAATATGATTAATCAGAATTTATACTTCTACAACAACTTTATTCTTGCTGGTTTAACCGTATTTAACTGTAAAATTAACATATTTGAAATAATTTATTCACAATTGAGTAATCTCAATCAAAGTGTTGATGTGCCTGCAAATTCTTAGACGTGTTACATGACGCACGACTACCGCATGAGTCATACTTAGCCAGTTCCAGGCCTTTAGTCAGTAAAACCGAGCGAAATGGCAAACGGCGCTATAGGAGCGAGGGAAGCTTGGGTCGGGTCATTACGCACTCGATCCAAAATCTCCCTCGTATTTTTTTCACTCCTCCACCACTGAAGGGTGATTTAGTATAGCACTTCGTTTTCCTGACAGAACGCCTGAAACAGGATGATGATGCTAGGCCGCTACATAATTCTGATCTTTATCTGCTTTGACACTATTATAATTTATGCTGTTTGCAGCAAATTCCAAGGTCTGCCTGAACTCGGAAAGTTACCGGTAGTAGTGGGGCGAAACCTCCAGATACGCGAAAAGGAGACCACTCAATTAGCAAAATCGGATGTAAACTGAATTTACTCTGAAACACTTTGGAGACACTTTCAATCGGTTTCAAGAAGGAAACACTTATTTGATTGACATTTCACTTAATGAATTCAGAGAAACTGTTTACGTGTTCTTTCTGTACTTTGGCCTAATCTTGAACAGATTTAATTTTCAGGGAAGGAGATTGTATTATCAACATTTGTAAATTAAGTTTATAAGGACTGAGAGGGTTGAAGCTGGTCCTCAAGTTGGTCCCGGAATTAAAGTTTCAGTTTTCCGTTTTAAATCTGTATTAGCCCAACAAATGTTTTGTGTTGAACCAAGGCAGAATATCAACACAGCGTGATCTGATATCTTTTTGATTTTGTGTAAAGCTTTAATTTATACGAGATAATTTGGTTTTGTTTACTGAGTTGATAATGTTCGAGCGTAGCCCTTGATCAGAGCTTTCGAGCTTTCGCTCTGAACAAGGGCTAACAATCGAAATATTAACTTTAGATGATGTTTACAGTTGCCAAATTAGATTATTAACTTAGCTGAAAGAACCAAACTATCGTGTAATATCCCACCGACGCAAAACTCCAACATCCCTGGAAACCTACCCACTTTATGTCTATACACGACTCCGTTAACTGGCAATATCTCACTTTATTCATTGACCGGGAAAATGCGAAACTAGTGAATGTAACATTCCGGTTGCCAAAAGCACAGCCCTCGATAAGCCCATCACCGTCTTTACCGTTTTACTAATTTATATCAAAATATATGGACCAAAGACAAAACAATCAGTGTCTTCGTTGAATATGTGGTATGCATGCATGCAAAAATCGTGTAGTCAATTCGTTAAGATAAACAGAAAATTAGTTTGAATTTATTAAATTGCATTATCACCGCTCACAAATCGGCCGTTCAACGATTTTTCATCAGAAAGACAGCTATATTGTTAGCAGATTTTCAAAGTCTATTTCAAAGCACAGTGAATTAAGTTAAAAATAATCTTCAACTTGGAACCTGTCTATTAGATGTCGCTGAATGCGAGCAAGAAAATACGAGTTGTGTTTGACGATGATAACTAACAATAACGAAGCAAAATCATCATAATCAGTTATTCACAGGTTGAGCAGTACAGAAAATATTTTCCAAGGTCAATCAATTCTCAAAATGCGCTTGCTGTTTGCAGTTCATTTCATCGCAAATATCCTTGCGGTGTTCCCTGTTTTAAGCGACGCCAGACAACATTCATGTTCCGCCATTAAGACGCTTGAAACGAAAGTGGACAATCTTATTGCGCTGGTTAAGGACGCTTTGCCTCGAAAGCCTTCAGGTACATTTTCGAT